ACGCACACATGTGAACGACGAGAGAGACCCTTTCCAATAATACGAGACGATATTGCGGTGCGAGGGCATTAGGAACTCGACGACTGTTCTCCCAATTATGCGAGCATTAATTTAAGTTTGCCTTTAATTTCGCCTTTTGATTTCTGTCTCGTGCAGGCAGGCTGCTTCGTCGCACCCCTTGCGCAAGGGATGAAAGGAAGAGGCAATGGAAACGAGCTCATGTATAATAGAAGATCGCTTTGCTTTGTGCGACTCTCTCTCTGACTCGGTCTCTCGCTTTGCACTTTGTTGTGCGACGTTTACATTTATGCGAACCACCCCAGTCCGTAATACACGCCCTTCTCATCTCCTGCCGACCCACCCTTGGGACACGCACGACGAGAGACATAAATCGTAAGGTTGCCCGCAAATTCCTATCTAACAAGTGGATTTTAGAGAGGAATGTTGATAAATTTTGCCCTTTGGAAGATACAAGTATGCGTGTCACGCAGTTTTGGGACACATAAAAAAGTTTGAAGCTCCAGGGCAAACATGAAAGATCGTACAAAAAATTATATTGAGACTTCTAGATTTTTCACTTAAATGGAAAGTTAGTGAGGACTTTATAATTTTTTGTTGTCCTTAAAATATATTCCATTTGTAGAATTTGTGATTGGCGCCAGTATTGAATTAATTAGTATTTTAATAAAAAATTTATTAAAAATGGGAATTTATATATATATTATGCAATTTTTATATTATTATTTAACTTTAATTTGGGAAGAAAATTACGCAAGAGATCTTGTTTTATTACAATTAAGAGGAACAAAAAATTGACTGAATTAAAATTCACGATAAAATCATGTGCCTTTTCTTTTCCCCTTGCTAAACGAACGTTAATGTCGCTAATAAAGAAATTACTCGCGTTGTGCTGCAGCGTTGCGTGAGACCGTACGAGTTGAAAACGGGCAAACATACACGTAGTGAATTCTCAAGAGAGACCTTTGGTGCGAAGCGTGAGCCTGTTCAGAAATTCGCTCGCACGTTGCCTGTTAAATAATGCACAGTACTCACATCTCACGCAATTAAAATCTGCATCACTAAGTAACCGCAAAAGACGGAGCAACAAATTTGTCTCTAGTGTCTGTTTTCACACAAAATTCTTTTATGAATTTTAATGATGTATATATACTTTAAAAAAGAGATTTAAATCATTTCTCTTTTTTTCTTGAGAAATTAGTAGATTAATAAAAATGTATGTGACTATTTTAGTTATTGTGTATTCCGTATTCCGTATGAGTCATCTCTTTAAATAGTTATAAATTAGGGAAAATTCTCATCAAAATTATCTTCTCCTATGCCATTTATTTCGGCAGTAAATCACGTTCCTGGAATTTTGTAATGGAAAAGCGTTGTTTGATTTGGGCGCTTGGGGCTTATATTATGCGATTCACGTTCACATCGCAAGCCAAAGCGTCGCTTCCGAAATAACTGGTGGGCTGATGTTGGTGGCAGCCCCTGGCCGCAGACGTGTTGTTTTAATTGGAAAAATCACCCCACGCCAATTTGGATCAAACTGATTTCCAAACGCTGGCAGTCACACTCCACTGGCTCAAATTAGCTGCTGCTGTTTGCTAGTTAGCCCTGACGTGATGCCTACCGGTCACATTCTACGTTCAAGCATCTCATGCAACAATGAATTTCATTGGCTGATATAATATAATAATGCTACAGAAAATCCAAATTACCGGCATCAAATACATATTGTTGGAAACACTGGTCCTAAAGAAATACCGATTATTAAGCAAATGAAATCAAATTTTAGTAAACTATTATAAATTTTATAAAAAGGGCACTATGAAACGATATTAGCAGCATATTGAATACATTCATGAATTATAAGAATATCACTTATTCAATTAAGAAGAGACTTTTTTATTATTAATCTAAGATATCAAAAGTTACATAAATTTGAAAATTTTACTATGTCTGTGTCAAATTCTTACGTTTTTATAAAAAAAATATGTATATTATATAAATTGTCAAATTATTAAAATTTAAAATACTTGTGCTATGTATAAATTATAACAAAATATTAAATAATGTAATTTTTTTTTTTTTATAATTAAGTTAATTTGAACTTGAATTTTTAGCAATTATTTAATTAAACTTCACATTAAAAGAAAAATAACGAGATGCTAAATCTAAATTTTACCAGGAGTGGTGTTAAGCAAAAGAAGAAAACTAAAATCTATAAACGAGTAATAGTACAAGACTTTAAAGACGGGCAACGTCAGATATACTACACTTGGAGGGTAAGCGGAGAGGAATCGTAACACATTTTGCACGAGTACGTACACGACCTGGGCAATAAAAGATGAACCAATATCATGAATATTGCAGGTAGCTGGAGGCCGGCGGTACGTATCACTGCCGCAGTAATAAAAAGTCGAGTTACGGGAATAATTCGACATTACAGCTGCCTTCATTCTATCGACAGAGAGAGCGTCTCTCTTTTCTCTATTACCATCAACGGCACTTACACAATGGACGGATAGAGAAAGAAAGAAGAAGGAAATGATGGTAGTGCACCTCGCGGCCGATCATCTGTCCTTTCCGACTGGGGCACTATTATGATTGCGCTTTGCAGCTTGTTCGTCTCGGCAATAAAAAGCTCCGTGCCGAGCACTTGGTTCGGCGCCACACAAAGAGGTAGCAAATGGCAGGGGGTGTTCTTTGGCGCGCAATTAAATTTTCTAGCGTGTGAGATCCTTGCAAAGTGATTAACGTATCTTATGGAAAAGCAGAGCACAAATTAATTCAATATTAAAAATTGAATTTCAAAAGCCAATAATAAACAAATTCCAACTTTTATATTTCAAAAACTATTAACCCTGCTGAAGAAATGTTAAAATGGAAGTAATTAATGGACGAATAGTCTAAAAGAATACTGAAATAATTTAGATAAAAATATTGTGTATTAGGTTCTTTAAGTTTTATTTATTTTTTATTGCGATACAAAATAGCCAATCTAAACGCACTGCGGCAGAGATAGTCTACGTGATCTCAAAAGTTTTACCAAAATTCATGCAAGTGGTGATGTCATTTTACTCATCTGTCCTATAATTCAAAGATTCTCTCCCTACTATTAATTATTTTCCATTTGTTTTTATGTATTATGTTAAAAAATCTTTTGTTACAAATAAAAGAAATAATTATTATAATTTTCATATTGATTAACAACTAAATTGATAACTTCAAAATGAGTAAATTACAAAAATACTAATATTAATAATTACGTGGCATGTTTTTCCTTGAGGGAGTTTTTGTTATGTGTTATTTTTTATTGATTTGTAAAGCTGTAATATGGATTTGTTAATGCTGATATTATATTCCAATTATTCAATGAAATGTTCAATTTGTGCGCACAAATAAATAAAATACCTGTCAATTTAGGCTACATTAATCAGCCTGATTGTGGGAGTAAATGTCAATTTTCAAATTGGTTTTTATAACATTTGCTTAAATTTAGGGTATTATAAAAGGAATCGTAATTACCAAACTGTGTTTATCACGATTTTCAGTATCAAATATTTATGTAATAATATCAATCAACCTGGAAGAGGAAATGCGAGACCGTTACTTTTTACTTCACCAACAAAAAACCTCATAAAAATCCAGCTTGCGCCGTCACGGTCTCGAAATCCGTGCATTGATATTAAAATGAGCGGCGGCGCAATATTTTCCGCGGCACAATTTTCCATTTCACTCGGAAGGCAATAAATAAGCACGCGTTTTAGCACCACAGGAGCAAAAAGCGACGTCCGCCCGAGAATAAAAAGGCGTTTGTGCCTCCGGGCTGGGTAAAATTCTTGCCAGAGCCGCGTGCAATATTTCAGGCCGCCGGTGCTTCTTATTGGCCGCCTCGAGACAGGTCGAGCAGAAATAAGAGCCCAATAACAATTTAAGCCTGACAGCCTGAATCGAAGTGAATTCGAGCCTTTATAATGCGAAAGGGAGCTCGAGAGAGTCGCACACGGCTCACTTGCTCTCTCGCCGGCAAAGAGCAGCCCTGGCCAAGCAGATACAATTGTGACATCGATACTGATGCCTCCATCCGTGCCGCCGTCGCGAGAGAGCGCCAATAAAAATAAAAAATGTACCGCATGTGTATTTCGCGAGTTTGTTGAGGGTGCATGGGCGGGTTGTACGCATGATTTGAATTCCGCCTCGCTTTCGATTGATGCCAGGCGGGCGCGCATAAATTCACCCGCGCGCCGCCACCACAATTTCGCACGCTCCGTAAACATCTGGCTCTCGGATATATATTTGAACGTGTCGTCTCGTGGCATGCAAAGTTTATTGATCTTTCAAATCTGAGATCCCTGGTCGAATTTAAACTGATATATAATCAGACGAATTGCTTTTGAAGAGGAACTGCACACAAAATTTGTTGAGAGAAGTAATTTATTTGAAAAGGTTGATGTTGATTCTTTGACGGAACCCAATTTCATGTAAGGAAATGCAATTTAATTTTGATTTGTTTTCAAAATAAATTTAATTAATTTAATGAAAATTCAATATATTAAATAATAATCTGGTATATGCCTTGGTTTCTTTCTGCTTGATTGGAAATAAATTATAAAAATATTTGATCCAAATTAGTTCCATTTCAAAAACCTTCAATAGCTCAATTTAAATAAATAAATAGAAATTCACCTTCAAATTAATGAAACAAAATATTGTTTGAAAAATCTATGTTTCATAAACGATCACTAGATTATGTGTGATTCTCGGCATGCAATCCCCAAAACCTTGAAGCAACACTTGCATGTTATGCAATATTAGCTACACTATGCCGTGAGCTTTGAAGTAGTTAATGATAATACGTGCCCTCTCCACCTTTTTTCTCTCTCCATATATTCTAAAACTATCGCAAGAACAAAGGGGCCGGTTATGTATCTGCCGCTTTAAGTGACTTCAAACTGCTCAGCTTGGAGATATTTAGTGCGACCGGTGCAATGAAAGTGTCCGTTGCCATTCCACTAGCAATATGGTTGATCCTGATGATTCATTCAGCAAGTACTGATAGCAATGCGGAGGGATGTACGACACCTGATTATGGGACAATACCAGGTTATGGGGCAAACTCAGAGTATTGAGAAAATAACATTTAAATCCTTTTTTACTAATTTATACTTTTAATATGATAAAATCAATGCAAGGCGATACAATACTTTCTTTCGTGGCATGTACCATCAGAAGAAACAGAAGACAGATACGCCGCACTCAAGTAGAAGGTACGTTTTTTTTCAAACCAAATTTATTTGCACTCGGATCAAGTTCTTAGTTATTGAATCAAAAAGTTTTTAAACATATTTGTCTACGGGTTGAATCAATTTTTCATTATTTATTATTTGATTCTGATTCCAATAATAACCATGGAACGAACGTTTATGATTTTAAAACTATCTCAGGTGAATAAAGATATTCATATTAACTAATTATGCTCTTCAGCAGGGACATACGTTTTACCAAGTTTAATGGAGAAACCGTTGTACAACACCGACGTCAAAAAATGAATCAGTAGTCTGGAAACTGCTGTTTTGTAAAGAAAAAAATGACGTTGTGAATGTGGAACTTATTGGGGAAGGTTATGGATTGAATTTTATTAAACTTGTAAAGTGACGTAATAATTCATTTTATGCTTGCTTGTTTTGGAGTTTTTTTTAATTTTTTTTTTCAAATTGCATTTTCATTTGTTACTTCTTTAAAAGGTTGAATAAAATTGCCCTGAATTCGAACCCAATAAATATTTCTTGAAACTAAAATTGAATACATATCGAATGCTGATTCATTTCTTTTGCATTTTCCTTATTTTGAATTATTTAATTACTTTTTCTTATTAACATACAACAAATTTTAATGGCATATTTTCAATTCATATTACTATATCCTTCGCATTAAATATCTGAAAAATTAGACGCTTCTCTTGAAAAATGTAGTGCTTTGATAACCCAATGCACAGCTGGGCATTTGTGTTCCTCTTTGAATGTAACCTAAAACCTTTTAGGAGCACTTATATGGGATTTTAGCAACACAAATGCATGCTGTGAGTCATTTTAAGATAGTTCATGATAATGTGTGTATATATCCTCTCCACCACGTTTTTGCAATTCTAAAATTATCGCAAGAACATACAGCTGATTTATAGCTATTCGCTCCTTATTTACCAGTGTTTTTAAAACTGCCTAACGAATATATACCTGGTGCGACTGGTGATTTATTTTGACTTATCGGCTCGTGAGCGCCAATAAACTTTAATCGCAACCTAAGTTCTCAGTAATTGAAGCAAGAAATATTTAATAAATAATACAATTTTTGAGAATAAGAATATATAGTGAGAGATTTATTTTGCGTATTGTTTCTAATTTGATTTTGCTGTCATTGGCAGTAAATAAATTGTTGCATTTTATGCATAATATCACGAATATATATTGTCGTTAACATCCCTGTTAAAAATCAAATTGATTTTGTTTTTTAATTTGCGCATCTTAAAAAATATGTATTTGTTTGGTAACAAATATGTATATTGAGTTGAAACATTCAATTTTTTTCAATTCCACGTTAAAATTACCCAGCAAAAGAAGTAGCTAATTTTATATCAAATTGTTTTTCAAATTGAAGATCAATTTTAGATGAGTCTTAGTTTTTAGGTAAACTAAGGAATGAAATATTCATTTTACAATTTTTAAGCGTTTTAATATTATGGAAAAAAATTAAATTTTAATACCGGGATATTCTTAATTTAAATAAAGTAAAACCGATGTACCTGCGGTGTGAATTTTTCTCTTTCGTTACAATTTAGTTTTAGTATATGGAGTTATGATTTTGAATTCAAGTTTTTTTTAAAATAAATTAGATAATCAATTCATAAATTTGTTTGCTACCTTAACATTTTTAAGCATTTAAATGACATGATAATATACAAATAAATAGACGATTTCCTCAATAAGTTGATTAAATTGAAGTACCGTTTGCGAGAATTTTTCTCTTTGCAATTAAAGTCTTTTAAAAGTTATAGTGGCGCTTTCACACAATTTCAGCGACTCACGCTGTGATTCCAACGTATAATTAATGTTAATGCGTGCCCTCTCCCCCTTGTTTTTGACTCTCAATTAAGAACAAGGAAGCCGGCTAGGAATTCACTTCTTTCGGTGATTTCGAACTGCTCAGCTCGGAGGTTTCAGTTGTGACCTGTGCAATGAAAGCGTCTTTTGCCATTCCGCTAGCCATATTATGCTTGATCCAGATGATACATACTGCTAGTGGTACTGATAGCGATGAGGAGAATCAGACGACACCAGCTTATGTGACAACACCAAGTTATATGACGACAACAGAGTATGGAAAAAAATATAATTCACGTACTTTAATACTAATTTATATTTTCTATGATAAAATAAATGCAAGAGATGGCAAAGAAGGAGCTGGTGTCTTTATTAATGATGCGAAGAATGCAAGCATCGGCAGTCCGCAAAACAAGAAGCGCCAATTGAGCAGGTTAAAATTTTAGTCTTAGATGTTAATTTATTAATTATTTTAACAAAAAGCATATGAAGCATAATTATGTTTGTCATTGACACTGTATTGCATCAAATGGTAAGTGGATAAAACCAGGAAACCAGAATGCACTGCGACAATGAAGCAAATAATAAAAAATTTCTAGTGACATGTAGTGCATAACCGCATGATTATTTTAACAATTTTCTACAGAAATACCTCTTTTCGGTTACGGAGAAGAACAACCACTACAACTCCGACGTCAAGCTAACCGCCAGAATCCATATTTTGGAAATTTCGTGTTTTGTAAAGAAGAAATATTTAAATTGGCAACTTATACAGAAGGATTTGAGATTGGATTCAATTGATTATTTCAAACGGCAGAAAGATCGTTTTGATATGATTGAAGCTTTTCTATTGCAATTGTAATTGTAAACCATAAAATAGTGAATAAATATTAAATGAATGTATATTTTGTGCTCAAATGAATAAATAAAAAAAATCTAATCTAATCTAATCTTTATTCTTGTAAAAAGTTCACATTTAATGGAAAAATCGTACACTGATAGTTGAATTCTTTGTGTCTTATAAATTAAAATTTTACTTTTGTATTCCAAATTTGTATAACAAAGATCAAATTTTCATATGTATAATGATTGATCTTAAAATGCATTAAAAAATATATACTATATATAACAAATCGAAAAAGCCATAGTAAAACAGTAAAAGGTTTGATATTTTATTCGGTTTAAAATTAAATACTCCGAAGTAAACCAATGGGCCAGCTGAGAGAATATTTGTTTGTTTTATTTTGCATGCAAGTTGTTTACGTCACCAACCTTCTAAGGGCACATGCAAACAATTTACTCATTTTTAGTAATATGGTGTTAGTGGATAGTATTGATAAGGCGTGACCTCTCCATTCAATTCTAAATTCATTCCAACAAAAGAGGCCGTTTAGATCTTGTTTAAATTATTTTGGCATTATCAAATCAAGCAGAAATCTGTTGACTTCACTAAAAAAATACCGGGTCGACGCCTTTTCCGGTCACCAAGCGAGTGAAGGCGGTTAATAGCTTTGTAATTTTGGCACTAATTATTCATCAAAATGCCCGGAAAACACCAACGTGGGTTCAAAACTTTTCCAATTTAATTAGCGGACAACGCCGACGGCCATTTGGGAGGGTGTTTGTGCGTGTGTAATTTTCGGCGGCGTGTTGCTGCGACTAATTAATTCAAAATAGCTTGGCCCGGACTTGGGCAATAAAAAAGCCCTGGCCAGCCACAACGGCGGAAAAGGAACCAAAGCCGGAAGCTGGTCCTAAACTCAGCGCCGTTCATTCAATATTCATCCACATTCGCGTGCCAAGTGGGCTCACGCATGCAAGAATGTAGGCAGTTTTTAGTGCCGAGCTATTGCAGAGGGAGCAAGAGTTTGAGATTTCATCGTGATTGATTGAATGAATGTACGCTGAACGGGTCCGTTTAATTAAGCGATTGTGGATCTCATGGCATGCTAAAATATCCCACTGCGCTTGTTGCTCAATCTATCTGGAGTAAAAAGTGATTGAGTGACTTATTGATTTATTGAGGATTCTGAAATTGGTTATAAAAATAAAATAGATGGAAATATTCATGTCAGAGGAAGACTTATTCGTCCCATTAATAAACTTAAGTTTCCAAAACCATTTTAGAATAAATTAATTTTAATTTCTGTGCAGAAGGTTCAATAAAACGATTTAATGATTTTGTGTAATTCATCAAGTACATAGGAATTATTTATAATTATGAGCCTTTCGTTGACTTATTTATACATAATTTTTTATAAGTTCATCGTTGCCTAATTGTAAGGGGACTCTTCTTGTAATAATTTGAGCAGTTTCTTCTTGGACGAAGAAAATTTTATTTGAAGTTAATTTTTTTTAGTTTAATTTTCAAGTTTTAAAATTAATCAAACCCAAACTTTAAATTTTACAAAATTAAAATAAAAAATTTTATCATCTCTCCTTTGAGGGTAAAATAGTATCCACTAGCAAATAACAATTTGCTACCATTATTTAAATTTTAGGTGGTGAAATTCAGAATCAAAATAATTTTGAAGCTCTGTAAACCCGAATTAATTAGACACCTATTCAAGTGAACCCGGCTTGAATATGCATAAGGCAATTCACTGGTTGAGCGTGTACGCATATTTAGGTCTCAGAGAGCGAGGCTGAACACAACTTTATGCTTTATTGTGTACGTGGATGTGAGTTTTATTTGGCACAAAAGCCTTTTGGCGGCATGCAAGCGAAATAATAATAAGCATGTCGCGGCTCTGAATGGCCGAGCACTTTCTCGCTCCGTCCTTTTATGGGCCTACTCTGTTTATTCGCCCCGGCGTTGCGTGCACGTTGTTCTCTTTCTCGCTCTCTTGTTCCATTAATTAATTTTTTCCACTCACTCCTCCACGCGTGCGGTTTCTGCGAAAGTGGAACGCCGCCGCTTTTGCTTTTCTTTCTTTCCGAATTTCCTTCCTTTGTGCGTGCGCGACTGTATATGTACAAAAATGTTTTGTGTCGCGTCGAGAGCGCGATAATAACTCACGTACTTAGCACTGCAAATGCATGCCATTGTCCCCGGCACAACAAATTTCGCCCTGCCGCTCGCTGGCTCGCCCGACCATAATTCACCGGCGCCGAGCGAATAATAATGCAAAACAGCAGCCACAATCTCTCTCGCACTTTCGGACGCGTTTGCACCCAATTTCGCTCGCCAATTCGAGCAGCCGCGCCGTTTCCGCTGTCGACCTCCACTGATAAATTTGCTCCAAGACTTTTTCCGCAGCCTCGGTCATTATTTCGGGCTTGCAAAAGCCATTCGCCGACTAATCTGATTGCGAAAATTATGGGCGTTTCAACACATTAACCAAATCTCTACAGCAATTGCTCAAGTTGTACCACTTTTATAGCACCTTTTAACTAAAATGTTGAGATTTGTCCATCTTGAACATTCGAAATTAAATTATATGTTGTGTAAATGTTAAGAATATATTCTAAAAATCCATCAATGTCTGTTTTCATTGAACAATAGTTTTGATCAATTCATTCCTTCAAATTTCAGACTTTTTTTATTATAATAATACAATGTTCATTGTTTTTTTTATTCTTCTACTTCTTGAAAAACCACTTTCTTAAAATATTCATTTGTCGGAGGAAAATAATGAATTGTTTGAGAAAATTGCACGCCATTAGCCGTAATTGTTTGCTACAACTTCCTAGTTCAAAAAGACAAGCCGCGGTGAGATAATATAATTTATCCTATTTGTCTTTGCGACTTTGTATGACAATTAATAAAATTATTAGTAAAAAACACTGTCTAGCCCGGTCTAGGTCTGAATGTAATTATTTTTAATGCAGCAATAAAATTAAAAAATGCAACTTAAAGTAAACAACTTATTGATCAATGTAGACACCATTGTTTATTTTTTTATGTATTGCCTATGCAATACTAAGGTTCTCAATTAACTTCTCCCAGCAGATTTAATCTTAATTAGCAGAATAGTTCATTTTGGCAATGGTAATTTTTTCCAGTTGGAATATTTAAAAAACGTTACAGAAAACAGGTCAGCAGTATCAAATTATTTCTAAGTATTCCCAGATTTAAAAAGAGTAAAATTTGCATCCTAACACTTAAGTAAACGTGAAGATCAGCCGTTTGTCGGGGTTTCTAGAAGCCTGATGGCCCCATAATAATAAAGAGCTGGCAATTTTTCCGGCGCTGCTTCTCTCACTTTTAGTCACTGCAAAAATGCATGGCCCGCAGTGAGAAATGAAAAAGCCCATTCGCGGAAAGGCATTTAAAGCTTTTTTGAGCGTCATCCTTGCTCGGCGCAATTTTCCACTACATTGATTTTCCCCAGCCGCACATTCGGAATGAACGCGAAAGCGAGCTCGCGCCGCGCGTATATAAAAAGTTTTACAACTCGGCGCGTCCTCTCATACCTGCTGCTGTGTGTTTTATGCACGGGGGCGGCCGCTTTTACGCCGAGGCACACACACGGAGGTTAATATTAAATTTTCAACAGGTGATGAAGGAATAAAAATAATGGAGTGTGCGGTGAGAGGAAGATGCGCCGAAAATCATTATTTGCTGGACGGCCAAGAGAAGACAAAAGTCTTAAGTGGATCGTAAAAATATGGCCACACTCTTGTTCATCCGGCTGTGGCGAAAAAGTCCGTCTCCGGGTTCGCTCTTTGCTCTTTTGACCTGCGGCAGTAATTTGTCCAGCAGCCGTCCGGTCTCTCGGGGATCAGGCCAAAGAAAAGGAAATCCACTCAAAAGCGGAAAGTAAGGAAGCGTCCGTCGGTGGTGAATTTTTTCCGCTGCCCACGCAGGCGGCGCCGGCGGAACAACTTTTTATTAATCAGCTCATGTCAAATTTGTCGCCGCCGGAGACGGACATTCCCAGGGTGGACAAATTAAGCGGGATTTTTTGCAAGAAAACGCACACACTCCGCTTTTCCTACGGACTAATCTAGTTTTTAATAACGCAAAATGTTTCGTGGTTAAATTTTGAGTTGCATTTCTAAAACTCTAATTATAATTTTTTCCAATACGATAATATTAAAAAATTTAATTTATTTATATAAACATTACAAATTTGATTTTGATTCTCTTCTTTTATATATATTTAAAATAAACGAATGTAAACAGCATTTAATAAAAAGTATGCATCATATTCTGAAGTATAATTTACAAATTGCAAGATTTTCATTGTCTTTTTTTTAGGAATCTTAACATCAATAAAAGCTTAAATTTTCAGTTTAAAGTCTCTTAAAAATTTCCTCTTTCTTAAATGTAATAATTTTCAGTGCGATTAATCATTTAGTTTCAAATTCAGATAGAAAATTTGAAGAGAAAATGTTTATTGCTTGCGTGGTTTAGGATTCAGAAAAAGACTATGAAATCGTTTATATTCATGGTTTAAAAGACATTTTTAAACTTTTGGACTGCCCATAATTGTCTCTGATATTCATAATAAAAAATAAGCAAATGAGGAAATTTGAAAAAAAAAAAAAACTCTAATTTCATTTTTATGATTTGTAGGTTTGATTTTATGGATTTATTTGGCCTTCTCCGTCATTATTGAACAAAAAAACTGTAGCATATTGAAAATAACTTTCAATAATAAAGCGGTTTATTTAAATTAAATATTTTTTTATATCAGTTTAATCACATAAATCTTACCTTATAAAATATTATTTTTCAAATTTAGACAGACAATAATTGTGCTTTGGTTTCAAAAGTTTGTTTATTGGGTTTACACCTTTACCTCTGAAATTAAATTTCTTACTCAAAACCTTTAAAAAGTTTTTCTTGCACTAATTTTCAAACCATCACTATCCTGTTATAATCTGTGGCAATATAGCAATATTCAGCACTGTTTGCAAGTCGTACTCCAGAGTTGTATGCATGAACTTTGAAGAT